TTTCATGAAACAACATATGAGCAAGAGCCTATGGTGATGAAAGAAGTTCAGGCTGCTTTGAAAGAAATGGCAAAAAATAAGGCTCCAGGAATAGATGGTATACCAATTGACATATTTCAGTTAACAGATGCTGCCCTGGACGTGCTCACCAAGAAATCTGGAGAACGACCACTTGGACGGAGTGATCTAGTAAGCATTAAAAGAAGATATAAGGAGTACACAAAGTCAACCAAAAAGAAATGGACAGAAAAATTTCATGAACTAGTATATGATCAAGAAGCAATGGTAATAACAAAAAAAAAGTTCAATCTGCTCTGAAATAACTGGAAAAAACTAAGGCCCCTGGAACTGATGAAACATCGATAGAGATATTTCAACAAACAGACGTGGCCCTGAATGTACACATCAGGTTGTACCAAGAAATCTAGTGGGCTGCTACATAGCCAACTGAATGGAAGAAACCCTTATTTAATTCCATTCACAAAAAAGATGATCCAACAGACTGTGGAAATTGTCAAACAATATCACTAATATAAAATATTGCTGAAGATATTTTCATAATTCCAACATTATGTTGATTCACCTTTCTTCAGAATGGCAACAAATATTAACTACATTTCAACATCTAGAAAATAAAAATTCTCACCAATGAACCAATAAGCAGTACCATAATAGATGGAATAATATTGAAATTATCAACAATTTCCTATTACTTGGGTCTAAAATCAACACCCTTGGTACCAGAAGAGAAAGTGTGGGCAAGTCTGTAGTCAGGGATCTCTCCAAATTACTGAGGAGCAAACTCTTGGTTTGAAGACTAAGGTGTACCTGATTCAGGTCATGATTTTTCCAATCACTTGCTATGTCTGAGACCTGAACAAATAAAGATAATAGAAGAACTGATGGTTTTGAGTTGTGATGTTGGAGAAGTAAATGGAACATCCCATAGAGAGCCAAACTAACAAGTATATGTCTTGGAGAAAGTGCAGGCAGAGTGTTCCTTGGGGGCAAACATGAGGAAGCTTCCTCTCACCTACTTTGGGTAGTGTTAGGTTATTTCTTGGAAAGGGACATCATACTTGGAAAGGTGGGGTCAGCGAAAGAGAGGAAGACTCAGCGAGATGGATTAACACAGTGACTGCAGCAATGGGCTAAAGCATGTTAGAGATGATTAGGGTGGCACAGGACAGAACAGGTTCTGATCTGTTGATCATAGGGTCGCTGGGCCGTACTCAACTCGATGGCACCTAACAACAACAAATAACCTACCTGAGCAGATCTTGGCTGAGCTGCTCCGACAGCATCACCTTCAATCTGCGCCGCTCACAGGGCCCCTTTCTTTGCAATCCCTTACTGCAAGCTCCAGAGGAGCCCAAAACCACCACGGGGGCAGCGCTGCCCTCCTCATAGCGGGCCATGTTCCACGACGTGCCGTCACAGGCCCAGTACTCCGCCCACTGCCCCCCGCACCGGAGGGAGATGGGGGCGTGCCCGAACAAATGCTCAGCTCCTACCGGAACCCGCCCCCTAAGGGAAAAGGTAGTCACTCGGCTGTTTTATGTCTGTACACCCGCCCTTAGAGGAGTCTGACTGAGGAAATCTCTGAAGCCGCGGTCAGCGCCCCCACGTGATCGGGGAGGTTCTGCGCAGGCGTACTGGCTCTGTTTACCTCTGCCAGCGGGCACCACGCCCCCTTTCCCCTCTGTTATCCTAGGGGAGAGTCATCCCCCAGGAAACACTAGTCCGCGCCTGCTTTTACTTTTCCTTGTCTTCTGGTATCCTGCAACCCGGACTTTGAGCGCTCCTTTCTGCTCCCTTGTCTTTAGGAAGACAAGTTTTATAAACTTGTAGAGATTTACATACTATTCCATTCTTTCTTTTTCTACCTTCAAGCAAAGAAAACAGGGCCATCAGTGGAGAGAGAAAATTGCTAACATATGTGAGAGTCTGAAGACTGACTGTCCAGAGTCCTGCATAAGATATGTAAGAAGGTTCCACTTCCCTTTTCACGCAATTCATGACTCAAGGCTTTTGGACTTTAGCTGAGAAAGGTCAGACTACAGTTCTCTACATATAATTAATATAATGTATAACAAGGAAGAAAGGTAAAATGTTGAGGGAGCATTGAACCAGGAAGTGAGTTGATAAATTGAGAAAAAAGTTACACCAGTCTTACTTATAAGGAGCACTTTGGTTGCACTTCTTCCAAGACAGATGTGTTTGGTTTTTTAGTAGTCTGTTGTTATAGGGCTGTTACGAGTTGTAGTCGACTTGAAGGGCCCTAACAACAACATCAATGGTAGCATAGTCTATAGAGATTTGCGCTGCTAATCTACAGGCAGTGCCTTTCTGGTAGTTCTAATCCGCCAATAACTGTGAGAGAGGAAGAAAAAGATGGTTGTTCTCATGCCATGCGATTTACAGCCTCAGAAACCCACTGGGGGGTTAGCTATGAATCCGTTCTGACTTGATAGCAATGAGAACGCGCACTGGACTTGTTGGAATTTCAAAATACCAGTGTTGTTGTTGTTAAGTGTCCTCGAGAGCCGTACATGACTCATAGCGACCCTATCAAAGAAAGACCTAAACACTTGTATAACTGTCATCCTAAAATCTTTGAGTTTCCGGAGGCAAGCTATTTTGGAAGTGGATGCCACTCCTGCTTCCAAGCCAGTTTTAATCTGGGAGCTCCACCAAACACTGTCCACCATGGGTAACCATTATCACATTTGACACATCAGTGTCACAGTGTTCAGCATCACAACAACCATGTGTTACCTCTGTACAGCCAGTGCTATACCACTTAGAAGAATGTTTGGCCAAAAACAACTAAAACCAGGCCTGAGGGCTGTAGATTAAAATCACCCACCTTTGGCTTGGTAGAATAACTTTCTATCCATTAAGCCAACAGAGCTCTATGACTCACAGCAATTCATTTTTTTAAAAGATTTTATTTTTAATGAAAATTTACAGAGACTTTGGATTTTCATTCATTCATTGTTACACTTTTCTCCTTGCTCACTCCTCCCCCCATTCGTTCTTCTGTTTGAAAAGTAAAAGAAAAAAATCTTTCATTGTTATACAATCCCTCCCCCCCAAGTCCACTCCACTATGCAGCCTTCATTCTGGACTCCTGTCATAACAGTAATACCTAATCATTTATTTCTTCTAAGTGGTTCTCTCCCTCATCTCTTTCAATGCAGTATTGAACAACAGATCTAACCATTGCCCTGTCCTAGCCATCCCCACAATCGAGACATGCTAGAGCCCATTGTTAACATTGCTGACCTTCCACATCTTTCAGCATGATGTCATTTCCCAAGGATTGGAACCTTAATATACCAGTATTGCTGTTAGCAATTTAACTCAAATTTAGTGCCATTGAGCTGCTTCCAACTCTTCGTGAACACCACCCCCCTCCCACCAACAGGATTTCCAAGGCTGTACATCTTAATAGGAGAAGGTTAGTCATCTTTCTCTAGAGGAAATGCTGGTAAAGTCTTTCCTTTATGTTATGACATGACCTAGATATATAACTGGATTTCAATTTGATGTTAAATTTTAGGAATAGGGTTTTTTTTTCTTTTTGTTCTCATTTTGAATGTGTAAAGCATGTATTTCCAAAATTGAAATGATACTAGAAAAGTTATACTTCCTCACATTCTTACCCTATTGATTGCACCTAGCCATAGGTCACAATTTTCATTAGGTTTGGCTTGTCCTTCCAGCATTTCTTTTCAGGAGAACTATGTATGAAAATTTCAGATGGGACAGTTGTTGTTATTACTGTTGTTTTTTTAATTTATTTTTAAAATTTGTATTGTATTTTTTTTCAGTTCTTCTTTGACTTTATTCATTTTACAACTTCTATAGCCATATGAAGTAATTGAAACTGTTAAGGTCAGATATCAAGGTCAAGTGCACCTCAGTCTTCAGAGTGACATCTTTGATTTTTAACTCTTTTTTTCATTAATTTAGTTTGTTTATTTTTCATTTCAATGAACATCTACAGAAATTTTGGAATTCCATTCATTCATTGATTACTGTTGTTTTTAAGTGCCATTATGACTCATAGTGACCTTATGAACAACAGATCTGTACTTTGCTCTATCCTGGGCCAGCCTTACAACTTTGATATGCTCAAACCCAAGAAAAAGGCCAATTCCTTTATTACTTGGACGTAGAGAAAACTGTCTTCCAAGTACAACAGCAATAAAGACAAAGGGAACAAAAATCATTTTCACTTCTTTGTTTATGTAGATCGGTTACTTTTGTTAGGTGGTGTTGAGTACAACTCATAGTAACCATATGAGCAACAGAATTTAACCCCAAGCAGGAGTGGCATCCACTTCCTAAACATGCCCCTGGAAACTCTTTGAACCTAGAGAAAGAATAATAGTTATAGAAAGGCTTCAGGCCTTTGGTTCATAGGTTCACTATGAGTCATGCTCAACTTGACGGCAATCAACAACAGCATCCTGTGCCAACCTCACAATCTCTGATACACTTAAGCCCATTGCTGTAGTCACTTTATCAATCCACCTGATTAGAAGGTCTTCCTCTCCTTTGCTCTCTCTCCACCCTTCCAAGCATAATGTCCCTCTCCAAAGAATAGCCTTTCCTAGTGACATGCCCAAACTTTGTCATCTTTGCCTTCAAGGAGCACTTCTGATGCACCTTATCCAAGATATACCTGTTTATTCTTTTTGGCAGTCCTTGGGATGTTCAGTACTCTTCTCTAGGACCACAACTCAAAGCACCAATTCTTTCTCTCTTATCCTTAGTCAGCTCTCAGAAGCATAACAAATGACTGAAAGTCCATGCCCTGAATTATGTGTACCTTAGTCCTCAAACCGACATCACTGCTACTCAATAATTTGGAGAGGTCTCTAAGTACAGACTTTCCCAGTGAATTACGTCTCCTAATTTCCTAACTGCTGGTACCAAGTGTCTTGATTGTGGTTCCAAGTAAAATGAAGATATTGACAGTTTCAATCTTTTCTCCATCTATCATGATTTTACCTATTGGCCCAGTAGTGAGGACTCTTGTTTTCTTGACATTGAGATGCAATGGTATTGAAGGCTGCAATGTTTAACCTTCTACAGCAAGCACTTCAAGTCCTCCTCACCTTCAACAAGCAAGGTGTGCCATCTGCATAATTAAAGTTATTGATAAGTCTTCCTCCAATCCTGATACCATATTCTTTATGCAGTCCTGCTTCTAGAATAATTTGCTCAGCATACAAATGAATCAGTATGGAGAAAAAAAATACAAACCTGACGCACACTTTTCCTAATCTTAACCCATGTATTCCTTATTTTCTTCACACAATAATAGCCTTTTAGTCTAGGATAGGTTTCACATGAACATAATTAAGTATTCTAGGATTCTCATTCTCCTCAATGTTAGCCTTACTTTGTTATGATCCACAGAGCCAAGTGCCTTTGCAGAGTCATAAAGCACACTCGTGATGTTAGAGTAAAAGTTGGCTGGTTTTTTTTTAAACCAATTAGCCTCTGATCTCTATCTACCTTAACTGCAGGCATATGGTCTTGCAAATAAGCATAGTCTCACAAATCATCGTCAGACTAGGATAAGTTAAAAAGTGCTTCCCACACTGAGCAGCAAGAATTGAAGCAAGACTTGAGGTGAGCAATGCTTGTAGCAGCAAGAGTGAGACCCTGGTGGTAGAGAGACTGGCATTGCTATGGAAAAACTGAGGTTTCTTGTATTTGTGCTGGCCACAGTTGGATTTTTGCTGTTTCTGCCTTGGATGATGGAAGGAAAAGCTACTTGTTGAATTGAAACCAGAACCTGGACTAATTGAGGAATTGTTGGGACTGCTTAGCTAAAACCTGAGCTTATTTTTGGGTGATACTGTGATAGTGTTTGCCTCACAAACTCTCCGACTTCCTTCTCTAATAAACCCCATTGTTGGTACTATAACTGTGAGTCAACAATGAATAAAAGAACCTCTTTCTGATGGGGTGCCTCTGCAGGGAACATGGGACTGGGCTATCGGCTTTTTATCGGCTTGCTACTTGGGGGCAGTGAGGGCTATGCTCTTCTTACTCCCTCTGGCCCTTTCAAGAGATGCTCTTGGTTTTGTGTTCCCAAGCCCCATTTTCCCCTATTTAGACAACATTCTTCTGATATTCTCTTCTTTCAGCCCGGATCCATCTAACATGAACAATGATGTCCTTGGTGCCATGACCTCCTTTAAGTCCAGCCTGAGTGTCTCTGGCAATTCTGTATGTACTGTTCCAACTGATTTTTAATAATCTTCAGCAACATTTTGCTTGCATGTGATAGCAATGATGCTGTTCTATAGTTTCCATATTCTGTTGGATCACCTTTCTTGGGAATGGAAACAAATATGGATCTTTTCCAGTTAGTTGGCCAGGCAGCTGTCTTCCA